TCTTATGAGCGCCACAAGATGAGCTTTTCGCTGTGGAAGGCAATGTGCTTGTTGCTTCGACCCAAGAGAAATACGAACAAGTATAGGAACCTTAGTGTAGTAATGCCACGGAAAGCTGGTGTTTCAGCAAGCTCGTCGCCCTTGAGCTCGACGCATCAAGTGCAGCAACTCTCAGATCCTTTTCACCCGCCACCATCACTCGTGATCGTGTGGACCAACACAAAAACATTGTCGCGTGATTGTTGGCCTATGGCGCACGGCCAATCACAGCGCAGCAAAACAAAATGGTCAACGAATCCAGTGCAATATTTGACATCGAATTGTTTCCCTTGTGCAAAGCAACGCATAGCTAGCATTTTGCAACTTGTCGTCGATGGAGGAAAATACGCTCTTGCACCTCGTTTCGTTCGTTGCAACACGAGCCGAGGTTTTATCGCTGCTCATGGCCATCCCGTCATCAATGCTCTCACCACCGCTCATGGCGCTACTTGGCCTCTTGCAAGGCCCACTGAGTGACGAAAATCGCAACCAGTGGCCGCGACCTTGCTTCGAGTCGTTGGGTCCGTGGTATCTGCCGCACCTGCTAACCGCCATCCCCGCCTTCGACACGGTGTGCATCGAGCATCCCTTTGGCTTTGAGAGCCTCTGTGAGAACGCAAGTGTTCCCGGCTACACCAACAAACGCGCGTTTTTGAGTTTTCTCGTGAAATGGCCGACCAAGCTCGGCACGCTCACTATCACTCGGCAGCCGACACCCACCGATGATGACGAGCTCGTCCGGCTCTTGCATACCTGCACGCGGCTCGACGATGTCCGCCTTGACGTGACGTGGCCGCGTGCCGGTGAGGTCCTCGCACTTCTGGTGTCGCCACGGTTCTGTGTACGTCGCTTGGTGATCGAAGAGATGGAGTGGGACCACGGCAACACCGTCCTCGATCTCACGACAGCACTGACGCCGTGGCTGCGCTCTGGTCATGCCACGTCATTGGTGTTTGACTACATCACGAGTAGCTTGGTCGAAGGGCTTCCAGCCGCACTGGCATTGGCTCCATCGCTCACACGCCTCGAAATCATCGACTCGGACAAGGTCATCGACGTCTTGCTCACCTCGCAAACACGGCTCTCGAGCGTCACGCAGCTCAAGGTCCGAGTCAACGGCAACACCACCAGCAACGAACTGCGTCTCGTCAAGCTACTGCCGATGGACAAGGTGACGGTCCTCGATTTCTTTGGTCATTAAATGTCCAACGGCATCGTGCGGGATGTCAGCTCGTTCCTTGCGATGCTACCGCGGCTCCCGGCGCTGCAAGAGCTCTCTCTCAAGGGGTACTATTTGCGTAATGTCTCGACAACGCTGCGCGGATGCCCCGCGCTGCGCTCAGGCGCTCTGTGCTATGTCAAGATGGGCAACATCATGACCCACATCTCGTTCTTGGACTTTATGGCGCGCTGCCCGAGTCTCGAGCACATTTGGTTGAGACTTTGTGACATGAATTAGATGACGCAAGCCCACGTTGGTGACGCGCTCGCTAGATGCTTTCGCCAAGCGACGTCACTGCGCAAAGTGACGTTTCAGGGCTCTGACGTGGACGTAGCGTGTGCGTTGGTGCTGGCAGAAGCCCTCGCCGGCTCGAATCCAATGCTATCAATGGTCTTGGAAGACTACGAAGCACTGAACCAAGCAAGATTGGCACAGCTCGCAGAAGCTGTGAGTGCGGGTGGCAACGTTGAGCTTCGCTACAACGACTGCGCTGCGCACCTCGACGACGGCAACTACTAGCGGTTGGGCATGGACGCCGTCGCCGAAATGTATCGTGTCAACGTGTCAGTCACAACGCCTTGGTTTGGCACCGTCTTCCGCATGGCATCCATCAACACTTGAATTACCTTATACCATTGGAGTCGATATACCAAGGACGTGGAGATACGTGGACGCGGACGTCTAAAACACAATACATATACATATATAATGTACGTGTAACAGTTGCTGTCGACGACAGCTGGAGACTGACAATGCGAACCAACGCCCTTTGTTGCACTACCCTAACCCGTGTCGTCAAAAACGAGTGTACACCTAGCATGTTGACCGCTACTGTCCACAAGAGGGTGTTCTATGTTGCATGTTGCATGTTCCCTACCCCTCCCCTACCCCCACACTCAAACGCTTGAGCATGCGCATCATTAATCAACAACGCGATGGGCCTTCTCGCCACCTGCAGAACGTTAGTCTTACAGTGTACATGTCCTACGAACGACAGCAACATGTGTCTTACAAGGGCCTCTGAAAGCGAGTCCGCGTCGGCACTCGATGGCGGCGGATCTCGAAGACAGTGCGACGACCGGATACTGTTTCGTTAAGAACAAAGTGTATATAAATGTCCTCGATACTATCGACACCAAAGTGCGATTCGCCCCACCAAAAATCGGTGGCTGGTATTGCGCTTCTCAAGGTAGCACAACAACATTCCATACGATGGGACCTTATGCGTTTATTGTCTGACTAGAGTCCGAGTGTTCTAGTGGGTCTTGACGTCGAGGACGGGGATCGGGGACCGACCGTTCGGCGCCATGTGCAGCATCGTGCGCTTGGGCACTTGAAGATGCAGCGCAACGTACGAGACAAGGTTGAGGCCGACGATAAACGCAATGAGGCAGCACACGTCTTGCGTTTGGTTGTTGACATCTTGTCCGATCGTCTGCAAAAACACTTCGCCGTAAATCGGAATCGCCGGGTACCCGGGCGCGTCAAAACTCAGCAAGAGACCCTTGAGCTCGTTCGTCATCATCACCTCGAATGCATACTTGAAGAGCGAGAGCCACTGGATCAGTGCGACGCCGCTCGGCATCGTCTGCACGTTGAGCAAAAAGCCACCAAAGAGGAGCATGAGCAGCAGCACCACCGTCGCGACAAGATTCGCGATACCCACCGTCTTGGAGACGGTACTCACGAGGAGACTGAGCGAGCCCGCGGCCACGTTGAAGAGCACCAATGTCGACGTAAACAACAAGAAGCGGTCGGCCGGCGGGTTGAGCCCCATAATGTAGTAAAAGACAGAAGCAAACAGCACGGCCGGCAGCATGCGCAGCGAGACCAAGTCGAGGAGCGTCTTGGACACAAAGTAGCTCCACGGCGCGTAGTACTGAGCGCTCGCTTCTTTGAAAAAGAGCGCTCGTTCTTGGATAAACACGTCCATGGAACTCAACGTCGCAAACCCAAAAAAGGTCAGCAAAAAGTAAAAGGCCCCCATGCGGTTCTGAAAACCCGCGAGATTGAGTTTGAGACCGGAAAAGATACCGCCGGCCACAAGCCCGAGCACGATGCTCAAGACGACGTGGAAGATAAAGAGCGCGCGGTTGCGCCACAAGGTGCGCGCTGCCCGGACGAAAAGCACTTGGAGTTCGAGAAGACGGCTGCCACGGCCGAGCTCGGTCGACGACTCGACGTCGTCCATACCGGCTTGGAGCATCTCAAACGACGACGTATTGACAAATGAGACCGACAACGGGTCGTGCTGCGAACGCCAAAGGACGTCGAGCGACTCAATGTGCTCCGGCTGCGTCACCACATCGAGGAGGTGGTCCGCGATCGTCTCGTCGGCCGGGCACGCAAAGTCGTGCTGCGCAAAGTAGTCGGCCGCCATCTTGGACGGACCATTGTACATAACCTTGCCTACACACAGCACTCTTGAGTATTCAAACTATGAAAGCTTCAAAACAAGACACTAAGAAAATAAGAAAATAAGAAAATAAGAAAATACGAAAATACGAAAATAAGAAAATAAGAAAATAAGAAAATACGAAAATACGAAAATAAGAAAATAAGAAAATAAGAAATAAGAAACTAGAAAATGAAGGCACAAAATGCAAGGAGATATACCACGAAGGTGTACCTTTGGCAAGCAGGAGCACCTTGTCGAGCTTGAAGAACGACTTGGTGCTCGGTTGGTGGATGCTCATAATGACCATGCGCCCATTCTTGGCGAGCGCTTGGAGCACGGAAATGAGGCTGTTGGCGGTCGCGCTATCGAGCCCGGACGTCGGTTCGTCCAAAAACAAAATCGACGGCGACGTCACAAGCTCCATGCCGATCGAGAGCCGTCGCCGCTCACCGCCCGAGATGCCACGGAGGCCCTGCGCGCTACCGATGCGAGCGTCGGCCACGTGCGAGAGGCGGAGTTCTTCGAGGACCTTGGTGACCATGAGCTGCTTGGACTGCAGCGAGTAGGTGCTCGGGAGCCGTAAAAACGCAGAGTACTCCATCGATTCGCGCACAGTCAGCGTCGGCAACAGCGTGTCTTCTTGGTGCACGTACGCCGCGAGGCGGCGGTAATTGGAGGGCAGCGGGAGGCCGTCCAGTGACATGTTGCCGGTGATGGTGGTCGTACCGTTGGCGACACCGGCGAGCGCATTGAGAAGCGTCGTCTACGGTGGGCTCCGTCTCGACTTCATACCGAATCATTATCCTACCTTGCCCGAGCCAGACGGGCCCATAAGACCGAGCACTTGGCCGCGATGGACGCTGCCCGACACTTGGTGGAGAATCGTGTGGGTGTTGGAGTCGCTGACGTCGGGCTGGCGCTGCCAGAACCGCTTGCGCGGTGCTGACGTGCAGGTGATGTCACCAAACTCGAGCTTCTCGCCGCAAGCGGGCACCGAGATCGTGTTGAGAGGGGCGGTCGACAGCGGGTCCTCGAGCGACGACGGTTTGAGCAGCGATGACCGGCGTACTTGAACTTGGTACGACGCATAAAAGATGCACGCGAGCACGATGATGGTGCCGGCGACGCCAAGAACCGTGATGAGCGCAATGAGGAGCGCAGTCGAGAAGGGCTCGGACGCCGCCGGCTTGTCAGCATCGGCGCTGCTACTTGTCGTGCCGCCATTGATGGCCGCGTAGACCGCCGCCGTCTCGCACGACGACGCCGTGCACGTGCCGCCGAGCGGCAACGGCGAGCCCGTGATCGATACCGTGAGCGTGTTGCCGCTTGTCGTCACCTTGAGCGGCCTAGTCCAAGCATCGCAGTGGCATCCTCGCTATCTACCCGCAGAACGTACTTGTTGAGCATCGTTTGCTCAAAGAGGATCTTGGAAAAGTCGCTGCAGAGGTCCGTGCACTTGCACACGAGGTTGCTACACGAGAAGGACGTGCCGGCAAAGATGCAACTGTCCATTGTGCAGTCGACCGCGTGCTGCCCGTCGACGCCGGTCGCATTCTTAAAGACCGCCATCGTGCACGTGTTCTTGGACCCGGCGCTGCAAGCGAGCGCCATGGCGCCGTCGGTAAAGACCGCTTGGAGCGTCGCGCTCAAGATGCAGTCGTACGTCTTTGTCTTCATCTCGGGCACGTACTCAAGCGACTGCACGCATTTGTCGCCCTTGGTGATGGCGCTGCAGGCCTTGTCGTTGGCGCACATGCCGCAGTTGTAGCCGAGGTGGCCGTCGGCGCAGGCGGCCATGGCGATCGCCGGCAGCGCCGCCGCCAGCAGCCAGAAGCGTCGCATGCTGGTCGTCCGGATGATTTGAGTCTGCAATCGATGCGGCTATTTTGGTAGCATTTTAATACACATCTGCAACGTATACTAGCTGTTTGTATGTGGAATTAAACATACGGATTAAATGAGCAGAATGTACGCACCCCGCAGAGTGTGTGTAACAGGGGCGCGACGCCAATATCAAGTATGAGAGGTTTGCACTTGACACTTTCATACAAAAAGCAAGTGAATTTTGTTTTGATGGCCAGTGCTATCGAAAGGGAGAGGTATGATATTGTAGAGAGTGGGCTGGTCGCCAGATGGATCCCGACCGCAATTCGTTGGATCTCAGTTCAAATTGCCGGTTCAAGAATTAATTCCGTGGCGACGACCACACGACCTGTGCACCTGGACCGACAGATTCATCGGGGTATCCAGCTTGCAGCGTAGGACAGTCGAGAGAAGCGCTTCGTGGTCATGCACTGGACAGACCATGTTTGGTGACATGAGCTGCGGCAAGGGTCGAGTTGGCAAGGGTTGAGTTGGTAAGGGCATGTCATCTATTTGTGCGATCACAACTTTGAAGAATTTTAGAAATTTGTCGCCGGATGACAAGTCTCCTTCCCAACTCCTGCCCGTTCAGTGACGATGATGATGGGACGGAGAAACCTTTTGGCCGCGATGACATCTGAAGTCTTAGTACAGTGTACTAGTAGGGCCATCGGCACGAAATGCTGCTTCTGGGGTGGCATCTCGCGGTCTGGCGCGGCGTCGCCACGCCAGCGAAATGTGTAGAGAATAGAAACTGATTGTTGCAAATATGCTAGTAGTGTCGTGCCTGTGAATGCAAGCGATGGACGCGCATGCTGGTGTTGCGTCAGGTTGACTGCAGGCGACCTCGGCTGCAATCATTCTTGCGGTCATCGAGACCACGCCTTATCGTCTGTGCTCGGGTATAATTTATCACAGTTTTTTTACACTTGCCAATATATACGAGCTGGCATTTATCATTATGCATTGCTACAGTACATTCAATTGTGAAACTATACAATCCTCAAGTCTATTGTTTGAAACACCTTGGGCAGAGGTATCGAAAATGAGAGGTTTCGTATCCGGTCGATCCGGAAACCTGCGTCAGTCAACAACAACCCGCGGCAAGGACCGAAGGATCGGCCGATGAACCTGCTCCAGGGCAAGACGAACCAGTACCTGCGGGACGCGATCCTTGAGAACCACGTCGACAAGGCGCGCCGGTACCTCACGCTCAAGATTGGCAAGGCCGACGTCGAGGCCACGACCGAGGTACGGCGCCTGCCACCGCTCGTTGACCGCATCGAAATGGCTAGAGCGGGGGCTTCTCGATGCTGCACTGCGCCGCCGTTATGGGCTCGACGCCCATGGTCATGATGCTGCTGCAGCTCAACGCCAGCATCTGGACGCTCACCGACGTACGGCGAAGGCGCGCCTGCCATGGCTTATCGACTATGGCTGTTTAGGACGGCTACTCGGCGCTTGACTTGGCGATCTGGAAGGGCCACACGCAGATCATTGACATTCTGCGCTCCCAAGGGTACGCACGCTCCTATCTGTAGCAGTGGTGTCATGGCGATACATGGCTAGCGCGATCGCGCCCATGAAGGAGCCCGAGTCGCTCAACGGCAAGAAGATTCTGCATCTTGGCCGCGAAGCGACCGTCGTCGAGTACTACCCGAGCACGGCGATCAAGACCAAGAGCACGCGCGCCTTGCACTACGCGACGGGCGAGAACTACCTCGTCAACCTCTGGGCCGGCACGGACTACAAGATCATTGGCATCGAGATGAACTTGGAGCCGCTCCGGCAGCTCAACTACATCCCGACCGACGTGGGCATGGACATGGAAGCCGAGAAATCACCGTCCCACGCGCGCGTCGAAGCCGCTATGGAGCACATCCTCGAAGGCCAAGCGTTCTTTGACGAAGACACGGACGACGATGACGACGAAGATGACACCCTGTCGACTGGCCCGCGCCGCCCGTCGGCCGCCGAGCTCCGTGAAATGAATGAAGACGACGAAGACGACGACTCCGAGTCGGACTCGGACGACGACGTGGTCGTGGAAAAGACGGTCGAGGTCACCGTGCCGCCAGGGCCCCTCGGCGTGCTCCTCGACAGTGGCATCTCCGAGTGTGCAGTCGTCCAGGGCTTCACCGCGCTGCCGTCCGGCGTCAAGGGCACGATCGAAGCCAGCGGGCTCGTGACCCCCGGCATGTACATGATTGGTATCAACGAAGTCAACGCGTCGCTCATGTCCCTCCAGCAAGTCATCCAGCTCCTCGGCAAGCTCGCGCGCAAGGACAAGGTCATTCGCTTTGCCGTCTTCCGCCCGAAACCCGCGCCCAAGCCGGCACCCGTTCACAAGCCGCGCCCTGCACCAGTGACGCCGCCGTCGCCGGTCGCTCGGCCAGCCCCATCGTCGCCTGTCTCACGCCCCGCGGCAGCGCCGACGGCCACATCGATGGCCAGCCTTGTGGGCATGCTGCGCACAGGTGAGAGCCGCCGCACGTCGCTCACGCCAGCGCCGATCGCCATCAAGCTGCAGTCGCCTCCGGAGGCCGAGTGCGTGCACTGCGGCGTGCCCGAGACGGTGCATACATCCGACACCTGCCCGTACAAGCCGTGATAATGCAGTGTATATACAGTGTGTTGGTATGGAGTCGAGTTCTGCGGTCGGTACATGCAGTGGTATCGTGTGAAAAAGTGGTTAGATGGTCGCCGAGGTCGACACCGTGGACCGATTCCCCGTCGGGCACCACCCAAGATATATTGTGATAATCAGCATTTTTGTCGCCCCGAAATGGGGTCTAATTCGTTGACGTTGTTTTCTACCGGATGCTGCCGGACGAATAATTCGTT